TCTGATATTCATTTTAGATGGATCCACAGAAGAGTTTTGCTCCATATAGCGCCTAAATAAACAACCAATTTTCAGCTAAGTCACCATTTTCGTAGCATGACGCAGTAGTTTGCATTAGGCCTACCACTAAAAATCCCAACGGTTGCGCCATATTGCAAACTACAGTAGTCTGACAGGCCAACAGAAGTTTGCACATAGTTTTTTTCAAGTTTCCTTTGTCTGCTGAGATCATGATTAAGATTAGTAAAGAGCAGACAGCTTTTTGTATTTAACATTTCCTCACCACCAACTCATTTCATAAGTTTCTCCCAAGGTACGGAAATCATGTTAAAGTGCCCGTATGGCCTTCTTTGCTGTCAAGGGTGGAAATGGTCCATCAGTTAGGACCAGTAGAGAATCAGAAAAAAATCCCAGACAAAACGACCGTTTCAGGTCAAACACACACCGTTTGGACTCCTTTAAACGTCACAATGGTGCAGAATTCAGTAGATGGGCCCCATGAGACGTCTGTCCGTAGACGATGTCAGCAGCAATGACTTTCCTACACCTCAACGGTCCGCATTCTCAAGGCAGATCTTTATCCACGACTGTACCATTGTCCTGTTCGCAAAGCTATCAGAGGATAGCAATGTGTTCATGGTACCTCGGTAATTTTAGAAAAGGGGAACATTTTTCCTTGGTATTTTTTTTGTTTTTGCCAAAACCCCTTTTTCCCCCTTTCGGTTTTTAAAAACCACCCCAAGTGCTTTTTTTTTTGGGTTTCCCCCCCCCCCCCCCCCCCCCCGTGTGGGCTTTCAGCACTCATGGTTGAGTGGATCATTTGTGTTTGGCCACCACTGAACATTTACGAACGACGCGTTGAAATGTGTCGAGTTCAAAAGGGGGGACATATAGACCAATGGTTTCTCAGAATTTCCGGAAAAAAAAAAGATTTAAAAAACCTCTGTATGAGAAAAGAAAATATAACACAGGGATGGAAAGATTAGATTTTTTACAAATTACAGGGGAATCTAAAAAAAAAAACCTAATCGTTTTTCATGACTTTTTTGTTCGTATTTTCCTCTACACTGAAGTTTTGCGTTTAAAATTTGTACACAACATTTGAAAGTCAAAAGGAATTTGTTTGATATTCATTTTAGATGGATCCACAGAAGAGTTTTGCTCCATATAGCGCCTAAATAAACAACCAATTTTCAGCTAAGTCACCATTTTCGTAGCATGACGCAGTAGTTTGCATTAGGCCTACCACTAAAAATCCCAACGGTTGCGCCATATTGCAAACTACAGTAGTCTGACAGGCCAACAGAAGTTTGCACATAGTTTTTTTCAAGTTTCCTTTGCCTGCTGAGATCATGATTAAGATTAGTAAAGAGCAGACAGCTTTTTGTATTTAACATTTCCTCACCACCAACTCATTTCACAAGTTTCTCCCAAGGTACGGAAATCATGTTAAAGTGCCCGTATGGCCTTCTTTGCTGTCAAGGGTGGAAATGGTCCATCAGTTAGGACCAGTAGAGAATCAGAAAAAAATCCCAGACAAAACGACCGTTTCAGGTCAAACACACACCGTTTGGACTCCTTTAAACATCACAATGGTGCAGAATTCAGTAGATGGGCCCCATGAGACGTCTGTCCGTAGACGATGTCAGCAGCAATGACTTTCCTACACCTCAACGGTCCGCATTCTCAAGGCAGATCTTTATCCACGACTGTACCATTGTCCTGTTCGCAAAGCTATCAGAGGATAGCAATGTGTTCATGGTACCTCGGTAATCTTGAAAAGAGTGAACATTTCCTCTGTGATATTTGTTGGTTCTTTGGCAAAGCCCATTTTCACCTTTCAGGTTATATGAACTACACAAGTGCTGTCTATTTTGGCATCCCCCCCCCCCCCCCCCCCCCGTGTGGCTTTCAGCACTCATGGTTGAGTGGATCATTGTGTTTGGCCACCACTGAACATTACGAACGACGCGTTGAAATGTGTCGAGTTCAAAGGGGGACATATAGACCAATGGTTCTCAGAATTCCGGAAAAAAAAGATTTAAAAAACCTCTGTATGAGAAAAGAAATATAACACAGGGATGGAAGATTAGATTTTTAAAATAAAAGGAAAAGG